TGGCTAATGTTGACCGCACGTCCGGGATACTGACAAGGTGGACCCACACATATTACTGACATCATACCTGTCGTACAAGCTTGAAAGGGGTAAGGGTAAACGGGAGCATGAGTGTTCCAATGTGGGCCTGCTCTGGAAGGATGAGACATGCATGTCCTGGAGACCAAGTATGATGAACAATATGAATAACTAATGCTCTTTTAACTGTCGCTTCTGTATGATGTTGAAGAGATGCATCCCATAGCAGAGGGCTGGACTGTAGGTTCCACCCACCTGCCAAGTTATCTGTCGCCAGGTTTGACGGCCGGTCGTACATCTATGGGCACATGGCGCGGGCTATACCGACTAATATAGGCGCGCTGAACAACAAAAAAAAGATAAGCTAACCAGCCAAACGCGCATATAAATGACAGCCATGAGGACACGAGCCGTTGCGAGACAGTTAGACTAACAGTCACGCATTGGGCCTTACACCCAACTAACCCAGCTTACTCAACGCAAGCTCGCATTAGTTGATGCTCCATAGGTAAATGCCAAAAGAGAAGATACCCCCTCTAGCGGTTAAGAAACTGAGCACCAAACGGCGCAGTATGATGGGCCGCAAGAGGGCCAAAGAAAGCAACCACCGCAGGACAAGCACAAACGCCAAAGCCTAACTAGTGCTCTCGGAAGGCTACCGAGCCGGCAGACCAATCGCCAAACGCTTCAACGACCTCAAACAGCACTCCCACCGCCCGAGCAGCGGAAGCGCCACCACGACGCAGGCTATAGAGAGAATGCACCCCGCGCATATGAGGCAAACCACACTCTGCAAGGACTAAGTCAAACCAACACTCAGCACCACGCGTACACTGACCCGCCAGCCACAACCGCGACGGATCACGCAAAAAACGCTGACGGACAGCCCACTGCAGGGAAACGGGCTACCAAACGGCAACCAAACGGCCCTTCCATTTGAGGGGTTTGTACTGAACAACTTGCTCCCCTTGGACGACAGCAACACGCACCCAGGTTACCGACAGCAGAGAGTCTGGGCGAAGCAAGACACAGAAACACAACACGACGAACAACAACGGCAAGGCCAACTCGGAGCCAACGGGCACCACGGCCAACTGCTCATAAAGATGCCAAGCATCACCTGCACTAAAGGCCAACACGAGCGCGGAAGCAGGCACCGTTGAGCGCTGCAAGCGCTCCCAACCTCAACGAAACGCGGCCAACAGGGTGTTGTCTCCGGCACAGGGCTTAGGGTACCCGAGCAAGTCATGCACGTAGATAATAGCACTGAAATAAGGCTGCGCTGTGCGGACTTGGATGGAGCCCTTGGCAGCGAGAAACTGACTCCACAAGAGCCCGGCATAATGGGAGGCCCGGAGTAACTCCAAACCTTCCTCCACACAGAAACGCACAAAGGCGGCAAAATGCGACGCATACGACTGCCAGGTCTTGGCACCAACACGAGACATGACAACCTGATCATGAGCAATCTGCAAAAGACGCGCAGAGTGATCCAGACTAGGAGCCGCGAGCTGCAGCTGCGCCACCAACAACTTAGTAATGAGGGGGGGGCCGCAACCGACTGAAGATCCAAAGAGTAGCGGGGAAGCGCCACACTATCCGCCCGAGTGCTACACGATTGCGCCCAAGCTAAAACTGCACCCGTACTGCTACGACCTGCCAAGACGGGGGGGGAGGAAAGTGCTCGACCCGCCCTCGCCCGGTGCAAACATCCCCGTATTCGACGGCAGGAACACCAGGAGTCCGCGGTGCTGCTGGCGCCTCGGGCGCCGCTGGGGCCAACGACATCTGCCGCTACCGTGGACAGCCTGGGCACTATGTCCGTGAACGCCCCGTTAAGCTAGCAGACGAGTTCGTCGGTCTCTACCGCAGCAATGCGTTCGAGCAGCCATGCAGTGCCGGCGCCGGCAGCAGTGGCAGCGGCAACCACCATGGTGACGGCGGCGGCGGAGGCACCGGCAGCGGCAATGTCAGTAACAGCGGGGGTGACAGGGCACGTGAACGCGGCCATGTTGGACGCGGCAACGGCCGCCGCAACGGCAGCGACACTGCAGGTGGAAGCAGTGGCGGCGGTGGTGGCGGAAGAAGCTCACGCCAGAACCGTGCCACGGTGCTGGTCGTCGATGGCAGTGGTAGCAGTTCATGTGTTGTCCAAGACTCTGGCTCACCTTACCACCTCACGGGTGACTGTTCCTTGATGCACAATTACATCCCTGTCGGCGCGCCTCAGCAGATCAAGTTGGGAAACAATCAGCTAGCCGACATCATGGGAACAGGGCAGTTGCTCCTAGGACGCACGATGGAGAATCCGTCTGGCTGCTCAATGTGCTACATGTCCCCAGCTCGGGACTCACACTCATGTCTGTCGACCTTCTCGTGACGCGCGGCTGCTCAGTCACGTTCGGCACGGACAAGACGGGCCGCCGGTTCTCACGTGTAGGCCTCCCGCACAGCAGCTTGTCTATCACCGCATGGAGTGAGTGCGGGCATTACGTCATGGATGTGGACCTGCTGGCGCCGACCAAACGCGCCGTCAGCGCGCTCGGCGCCGCGGGAGACAGAGCCGGCGGAGGTGGTGACGCTGGTGGAAGTGCCGCCGACGCCCCCAGCACCCGCGATGGCAGCACAACCAGCAGTGGCACCGGCGGAGACCAGCCGAACAACAGCAGCAACGGCCAAGGGCAACTGGGCGCCACTGAGTGCTCAGTCGCCGAACTCACAGCAGCACAGCACCTGCACCGCCAGTTCGGCCACCTTGGTTAGCGGGCGCTGGAGGAGCTCATCACCAAGCAGCTGGTGCATGGACCACGGGTCATTCCAGCGGTGCTGCATCAGGCGGCCGACGGCGTCTGTGAAGCCTGCGTCACCGTGAAGACCACAGCTACAGCCCACGTCAGCCGCGGCAACCGACCTCAGCATGCACTGGAGGTCGTGCACTCTGACCTGTGCGGGCCCATGCCGACCACGGGCCGAGGTGGGGCACGTTACTTGCTAACGCTGCTGGGCGGTGCCTCCGGTTTGTCTGCCGTTCGCATGCTGGTTAGCCAAAACCAAGTGGGCAAAGCGCTGCAGGACATGGTGACGCAGCTGGAGGATCGCCACCCGAACCATGCACGGGTACGCACACTTCATAGTGATAACGGTGGTGAGTATGTCGCCGAGCAACTGGAGCAGTGGCTACACCAGCACGGCACTGCGCACACCCACTCGGTGCTGTACACCCCGGAGCAGAACGGAGCAGCGGAGCAGCTCAATCGCACGCTCCTCGACCGTGTGCGGGCTATGCCGTACGATGCCGCCCTCTCTGACAGCTATTGGCCAGAGGCTTTGCTCTACACCAACCTCCTGCGAAATGTGGCTTCCTCTCAGGGCCGGGAGGCCACGCCGTGGGCAGCTTATCATGGCGTCAACCCCGACGTCAGCCACCTGCACACCTTTGGCTGCCTGGCCTACGTCCGCATCCCAGCCAGCCAACAGGATAGGCTCTGTCCCCGCGCTAAGGCGGGAACCTACCTTGGACCGGAGCGCAACACGGCCGCCCACCGCGTCCTTGTTGATGGCAAGGTGACTGTTAGCAGCGACGTCACCTTCGATGACGAGCACCGCGCCCCGGCATCTCAACGGGCGGGCACCCCCTTCAGCACCAGCCCTACCCGTCCTGGCGGCAGCGACCCTGGCGGCGGCTCAACACAGCCTGCCACACCGCCAACTCAAGTGGATGCCCCGCCCCCAGTGAACCCAGCACCCCCCCTCCACCCTGCCACTCGCAGTCAACAGCAACCGCTGCACCCACCGCTGGCCCCGGTCAGCCTGGCCAACAACAGCAGCGGCGGCGGCGAAGATTTGGGTAGTCCACCGCTGCTTAACAAAGCGTCGGATAGCACCGATCACGCTGAGTTTAACGTGCCCGACGGCAGTGCCAACGGCAGAGGCAATAGCACGGTGCAGGAGCTTAACATGCCCGACGGCAGTGTGGACGGCGGAGGCAACAGCGCGGTGCAGGAGCCGCGCAATTATGAGGAAACGGTGGCGAGTCCGCAAGCTGACAAGTGGAAGAGTTCGATGGATGACGAGATCCTGTCGCAGCTCTCCAACAAAACATGAGAGTCGGGCACACCGCCGCCCAGTGCACGCATCCTCGACTGCCGCTGGGTTTACAAGATCAAACAGGAGCCAGGCAGTGAGGTACGCTATAAGTCGCGTTTGGTGGTGAAGGGATTTGAACAGCGCTAGGGCATAGACTACGGAGAGCTGTTTGCACCCACCACGCGTGCAGCCTCCCTGCGGGCACTTCTAGCTGTGGCAGCGGCCAGGGGTATGACGGTCCATCAGATGGACGTCAAAACGGCTTTCTTAAAAGGCGACCTAGCAGAGGAGCTGTGGAGGCGACAGCCACCAGGTTACAGCAACGGTGACCCGACGCAGGCGTGCCAGCTGTTAAAGTCCGTCTACGGCCTCAAGCAAAGCCCCATGCTGCTGGTACGAGAAACTGGCGGCGGAGTTGGGCAAGCTAGGCTATGAGCCGTCTATGTCCGACCCCGCACTATTCGTCAAGCGCGGGTCCGACGGCTCAATCTATGTGCTCGTGCACGTTGACGACATGCTGGTGGCGGCACACAACCTGCAATTGGTCGCGGCCGCCAAGGCGGCCATAGCTGGTTGCTTCGCAGTACGAGACCTTGGAGAGGCGCGCTACTACCTCGGCATGGACATCATCCAGGACCGCCGCAAACGCAGCATCATGCTTACGCAGCACAGTGCTGGGCATCACTTAGATCGCCAGAGGAGGAGTGCTGAGGGCTTTGAGGATCGGCCTCAGTTAATTCCTTTTTTCCAAACGCCAAAATGGCCTGTTTATTACTTTTAAGGAATATATTACTTTAAAAAAAGACACTGAGCTGAGTACCGGCCATAGAGGGCTGTCCTTGCTGCTGTGAATTAATGCGAAAAACGATAGTCTTCAAACCGGTAACCAGCCCCGGTTACTGCCCAGTAACGATCAACCTGGTAACCCAATCGTAACCACCCCCATTAACGACCCCCGGTAACCATCCACCTGGTAACCGGTCTCCGCGTACCCCATTAACGGCCACAATTGCCCGATAACCGGGCAAGTCTATGTGGTAGTGAATGGTTGGATTGGCGGGCATCTACTAACTCATTTGGCGCGTGCATTATCTATCTTCATCCCAGCCGTAAGCTGGCACGTGCTGATCTTTGTATGTTCACTTTGGAACGGCAGATCTCGCTTTTGCATGTCATAGTTATAAATTTCCTTTACTTGGCCATTGGCTGCTGGCCGGCTGCAGCGGGTAAACACAACCATTAGCTTTGATAACAAATGGCAACCAACAGCAAGCAAATGAAGCAACTAAGCAAGCGGAACTACCCCTAGGGGTAGTCCCACCTACCTAGGGGTAGTCCCATCTATCATACAGGCCTATCACTCTGGGAAAACGGGGGTCATTTTACCCGTAAATTTGGGTCAATCCACATGTAATTTGACAGAAATTACGGGTCCGTAACACGTTACGGGTCCCGTAATTTGAGCACAAGGATACGGTGAACATTTACGGGCGACTACCCCGGAATTACAGGTGGATATTACACGGTGCTGCAGGTGAATTACGGGCGCATGTAACCAATTACGCGCACAATTACGGGTGAAGACCCAGTGATTACGGGTGCATATTACGCGGTGCTGCAGGTGAATTACGGGCGCATGTAACCAATTACGCGCACAATTACGGGTGAAGACCCAGTGATTACGGGTGGATATTACACGGTGCTGCAGGTGAATTACGGGCGCATGTAACCAATTACCCGCACAGTTATGGGTGAATACCCAGTGATTACGGGTGGATATTATGCAGTGCTGCAGGTGAATTACGGGCGCATGTAACCAATTACGCGCACAATTACGGGTGAATACCCAGTGATTACGGGTGGATATTACGGGGTGCTGCAAGTGAATTACGGGCGCATGTAGCCGATTACCCGC